CTAATGTCGGGGGTTTAAATGGAGAGAAAATGTTTTGAGAAACGATGTACAAATGCGCTTTACACAATTGATGTGTGTATGGATTGGGATAACAGTTGTGTGAGCCCCTAATAAAATGTTAAAAAAAGAAAAAGAAAAAAAAAAGTAGTGTCTGGAGACTTATATTCTTAACACGCAGCCATCTAAATGAGATTTCAACGAAGCCCACCGTGGAAGACGTGAACCAACATGCGTGATCCAAGGATTGTAAATAATATTGTCCAAATCCAAAGGAGAGGAAGATGGTATCAGTTTGAATTGTGAAATTCTGGTTTGCAGAATATGGATGACAGTGGAAGCCCAAAATACATTTGCAGGATATATGTATGGAATAAGCCTCCAGTGACATCCCTTTGACCATAATTGGGAGATGAAAATAACCTGGTGAACAGACAATATTGTAGAAAATATTATAATCTGAAAAGTTAAAACCTTATCATTTGATCCCCCTTTTGATACACTCTGAGCTGCTAGTTTTAAGTATTTTGGGGGTTTTTTTCCTTTAAACTGGGATTTATCTCTGTTGCATTTTGTCATTGTGGCTAGCCTTGATTCTTTGTTACATATTTTTCTGTTTTTCAGTATATGAAACCCAGGATGGGTGAATCTATATAGAGACAATAACTATATTAAGGGTTCTCAGTGGGCACTGCAGGAGCAGTAAGGGGGTAATGAGGAGCTAATATCGAGGAGTACAAGAAGGAAGGAAGTGTTTTGATTGAAACTGATTGTGGTGGCAGTTGAACAAGACAACGTGATATGATTGAATTATTGAATGATATAATGTCTGGATTGTGCCCTAATGAAATGGTGTGGAAATAATAATAATAATCGTGTTTTGATAGTTCCCCTGCCCTGTCTTTCCTCCCCTGTTCTGCAGTTGATCAGATGGGAAGATGGTTTGTGGCTGGAGGAGCTGCGGTTGGTCTCGGGGCGTTGTGCTATTATGGCTTAGGGATGTCTAGTGAGATGGGAGCTATTGAAAAAGCTGTGTAAGTAAATTGCTTCTAAACAATTTTTACATTAAAGGGCCCATTTTGGGTTTTTTTCCTTTAGCCACTTTTGGAATGATTTCGCTTAGCTCAACTATGTAGGATTTTTTTCTTCTCTGACATGTATTTTTTCAAACTTAAATAAAAATCTATTTTACCAAAGCTATATATTTAAGTGAAGAAGCAGGTGCTTGTATATTTTATCCTATTGCAATTTGACACTAACCCCAAGGTGTGCATAATTCCAAGATGAATAAGACTTAGAGTCATAGATTGATTTGTCTCAAGAGTTAGCCAATTAGTAAATGATGCACATAGAATGCCCACCCAGTTACTTAACCATGTTGTGCTTCTTACAGAATTTGGCCTCAGTATGTGAAAGATAGAATTCACTCTACTTATATGTACCTAGCTGGAAGTATTGGTTTAACAGCCCTGTCAGCCATGGCCGTGACTAGAACTCCTGTTCTCATGAGCTTCATGTTGAGAGGTTCTTGGGTGGTAAGTCAGCTTGTTTTTATTTTCTTTTTCCATCTAAAGTTATAAAGATAAAGCAAAGAACATCAAGGATAGGGGAGTTAAATTAGGGAGTGATGGGAATCTTCATATTTTGAGCTTTGTGTCAGAATAATATATCAGTTATTAGTGCAGCTTAGGCACAACAGGTAGTACTTTCACAACAAGTCATTTATTATTTGTTGAAGGGGAATGCTAATAGCAGCAAAGGGGTTAGAAATTAAATTTACAGGGACATTCCTACCTGTCTAACAGCAGATAACAACCACCCTCTATTTTGTAGCAATTTATTGAAAACAAGGAGGAAGCTAAAGCATCTTGGAGGTTGATAAGAAATACCTACTACACATATTGTGAATGAGGGGGAGTGCAGATTGGGGACCCAAAGCCCATCTGTAGGTAACTGGACATCCCCTTACAGAAGGGTTGCGGGGAAGAGACAAATGAGCCAGTCTCCTGCAGTTCTTAAATGCTTCCCTCCCCACTCACCTCCACTATCATGATCCCAATTCTACCTTACAAATCCGGCTAGACCAGAGGATGTACACTGCTATAGATAGGAACAGGAAACACAGGGAATCCAGGACAGATGATCCCTTCAGGATCAGTGGTGAGAGTGACGATACCAGGAAGGTGGAGGGAAGGTGGGGTAGAAAGGGGGAACTGATTACAAGGATCTACATATAACTTCCTCCCTAGGGGACGGATAACAGAAAAGTGGGTGAAGGGAGATGTCGGACAGTTTAAGATATGACAAAATAATAATAATTTCTAAATTATTAAGGGTTCATGAGGAAGGGGGAGGGAGGGGAAAAATGAGGGGCTGATACCAAGGACTCAGGTAGAAAGCAAATGTTTTGAGAATGATGATAACAAATGTACAAATGTGCTTGACACAATGGATGGATGTGTGGATTGTGATAAGAGCTATATGAGTCCCCAATAAAATGATTTTTTTTTGAAGTATATTATCAGTTGGAACTATTGGGAAGATGTATGAAGGAGACATTGATTTCATTAGAGTCATCAAAGGCAGGCACATTTTATTTTAGGAAAAGACAAGGACAGCTTGGGTTAGCCAAACAGCTTGAGTAAAGCAGGGGGAAGCAGGACAGGCTAGTTTTAACAGTAACTTGTTTGTGTCTAAGATCTGGAGCGTGAGGAGTTCTAAGGGTAGTTGGCCTCCAAGCTGAGGAGAGTGCTTAGGGAGTGGCCGGCACTGAAGATCATTGGAACAGGCAAAATGCAATTGATGTTTGAGTTCTATAAACAGGAAACAGAGACACAAAGACTTCATTTTTGGAAAATCTGAAACAAGGTATGATGGGAACCTAAACTGGAGCAAAGCATATACAGCTGGAGTGGAGGAAGAAGAGGTTAAAGAGTTTATATAACACTTAGTTATCACATGTCAAATTGAGTTCTCCCCACAAGTTATCCAAATTCATCTAACTTCCAAATCCATACCATTTTTGCTCTGCTGTACTTAACAAATAAGCTAGTTTAACAGTTTTTTTTAACACTTCATACACATCATAATTCCATCATATGAAGAAGTCATACATTACCACATTTGATTCTAGAATATGTTCTTCCTAGTACTCATTGTTCTTTTTTTTCTTTTTTTTATCAATTTATTGGGGCTCATACAATTTTTTTTTTTAACATTTTATTAGGGGCTCATACAACTGTTATCGCAATCCATACACACATCAATTGTGTAAAGCTCATTTGTACATCGTTTCTCAAAACATTTTCTCTCCACTTAAACCCCCAACATTAGGTCCTCATTTTTCCCCTCCCTCCCCGCTCCCCCTTCCCTCATGAGCCCTTGATAGTTTAAAAATGGGTATTTTGTCATATCTTGCCCTGCCCGACGTCTCCCCTCACCCACTTTTCGGTTGTCTGTCCCCCAGGGAGGAGGTCACACACAGTTCCATGTAATCAGTTCCCTGTTTCCTACCCATTCTCCCTTTACCCTCCCTGTTTTGCCACTCACACCACTGGTCCTATAGGGCTCATCCGTCCTGGATTCCCTGTATTTTCAGTTCCTAACTGTACCGGTGTACCTCCTCTGGTCTAGCCAGACTTGCAAGATCGAATTCGAGTCATGGTAGTGGGAGCGGGGAGGAAACATTTAGGAACTAGAGGAAAGTTGTATTTCTCATCATTGTTACATCGCACCCTGACTGGCTCATCTCCTCCCCGAGACCCCTCTGCAAGGGGATCTCCAGTGGCCTACTAATGGGCTTTGGGTCTCCACTCTGCACTCCCCCCATCATTCACTATGGTAAGATTTTTTGTTCTGATGATGCCTTACACCTGATCCCTTCGACAACTCGTGGTTGCATAGGCTGGGGGCTCATACAATTTATCACAATACATAGATCAATTGTGTAAAGCACATCCATATATTTGTTGCCCTCATTATTCCCAAAATTCTCTTTCCTCTTGGGTTCCCGGAATCAGCTCATTGCTCTTTATGTAATTTATGTTTTTCTAATTGTGGCAAAAATATACACAACAAAACATTCTCCAATTCCACCACATTGATAGTCTTAAGATCATCCTTCTCATTTAATTTTAACGGTAGTTCAGAGGTTCAAAAAACTACAGAATAAGCTTGATGTATTCTCACCAGAGACACCAATTTTACTTAAAGGTTAATAATTTAAAATAGTGCTTTTGGAATAAGCATGGTTATGTTATAAAAGATTAAAGTGCACACAAAATTTTAACTCCCAAAATAAAACTTTTAGTTAATGTGCCTCAGCCATACCTCAACCCCCTCTTGGCATACATCCTCTGCTGTTAAAAATACTTGAAGATTTCGAAAGCCCAAGAACAGGTACTTTAGTGCTAAAGACGTAGCCTTTTGGATGTGGCAGACATATACACAGATATGTCAAACACGTTTGTCCCGATGCTTTTAATCGAGAGGCATCTGTCATTGGGCCACGAGGGTGATGCCCAGAGGCGTCTGAGACAAGTACCTCAGAGGGAGGTATGCTTGGGCACAGTGGCAGAGTAAGGAAGCATGAAATGTTAGGACATGTTTATAGCTTTACCGGTTTGTGTCGCTGAAACGTACAGAATGGAAAGTAGAAAACAAAAAGACTAAATCATGAAGGGACCTGAAGGAGTAATCCAATTGCAATGAATGTATTAAAATGCATTGTACAATAGATGTTTAAAGTAGTTTTCAGTAACCTTTCATTGTTAGCAGGAGAAAACACGTCTGTTTCTGTTTAAAGACATCAAGGTTGCAGTTTCTACTTTGGATTCTCTGAAGATTCATAATGCTTACCTTTTTTTCTGAGGAATTAAAGTCTTAGAAATATTTATTGTTTGACATTGGAAATAGTTGAGAGGTGCAGCAAAAGATTGAGGACGGAGTCAGCCATATAGCTAGAAGGATAGAATCTTATTTCACTGTCCTGAAAGTGATACTTTTCATTTTTCATCTTCATCGGTGAACAGGTACCGTGTTTAATACACTCTGTATGCTATGTGCACACACTATCCCTCAAGTCAAGTTGATTCCAATGTAGCAACTCTAGTACAGAGTAGAACTTCCCTCAACTTTGCCCGGAGTGATCTTTACAGAAGCAGGTGCCCAGGTCTTTTCTCCTGCAGAGCCACTGATGTGGACAGCTCTGTGCTTAATCATCGGACCCTGGATTAAGAACGCCTTAATGAAGAATGCTTACTCTGGGATTCTTGTTAGAGGGTCCATTATACCTCTGCCCAGTGAGAACCAAGTTTTTAAAAGATGATGCTGTCAGTCGAAGCTCAAATGGTTGTCAATAACTTTTTTTAAAGTACTTGAAGTTGCCTAAAAATTGTTTATACAGTGGTAGGGGGACTCTCTTGATAGCCAAACTTTAAAATTCAGAATAAGCTCAAAGCCTTTAATATAACAAAAAGATCAACAATTTAGTGTCCATGTATTTTGTTTCATTATTAGAAGTAGCATTGAACGTGGAAGTTCTCCATTTCTATTTTTCTGTTGTATAAGGATCAGTTTTTCTCATACTTGTTTGTGTCTTTCAGACCATTGGTGCCACCTTTGCAGCCATGATTGGCGCTGGAATGCTGGTGCGGTCAATATCCTATGACCAGAGCCCGGGCCCAAAGCATCTGGCTTGGTTACTACATTCTGGTATGTTTTCATTTTAAATTTTTATTCAATACCACCTGGCATATTACCCTTCTCGGTGACTCTGTACACTTACTATAAGTGACACATCATCATTTAATTAAACCTCATGTTTAGAAAACACTTATAATTTTTTTTCAGTTGTAAGATACCACCAAGTCAGTTCTGAATCATAGCAACCCTGTGTACAATAAAACAAAAACTGGCCTGCATCATCAATCTTAAATTCAACAGTGCATACACGTATTCATCCATTGTATACGTGTACACCACTTCAGTGTACACCACTTATTCTGTTTTCTCGTTTCCTGTTTCAGTACCTCTGTCTTTTCTTGTGAGCTTTATCATTGGGTAAATGCTGCACCTTTGATCATGTATCAAAGGGGTTTGTCCAGTTCCAGAACTGAAGCGTGTCGAACAGGCATATATCCAGGTTCCACCAGTCACTGTCTAGCCAGTAAGCCTGATCCTTTATAAGACTGTATGTTTTGGTCCACATTTCCCCCTCTATCTATCCAGGGCCTCTTACCATGCTACCTTCAAGTTCTGATGGTCTCGGGGACTTGGAGACTGGAGATCACATGGACTGTTAGTCCTTTTCACACTGTTTGCTTCCTGTGTATTTGTTTTTCTTTACTCTGCGTTGTTCTAGATGGGAAAGGCCAGTATTTGCACCATTGATGGCCACTCACAAGCTTTTATTTTTTAACCCCAGTGGCTGCTCAACAAAGTAGGGCGTTGTTGACTATCGTCTTTGTGGACTCTACAGAGTGTTATTCCAATGACCTTAGTGTCCCCTCAGACTATGGATGGTCCTGGTGCCCCAGGCCCAATGACATTCACTCACTCGGGGTGTTATCAGTAGGAAGTTTTTCATTTGTTGAGTTGTCATTATATTTTTCCTGTTGACTTTTAGCTTCGTACTGTTAGGGTCAGGATAAATGCTTTATATGATTTCAGTCTTTTTAAATTTATTGAAACTTGGTTTTGTGTCCTAGAATGTTATCTGTTCTATAAAATAATCATTTGTCACTGCAGAAGAAGTGTTCTGATGCTGGGTGGGGTGTTCTGTATATGCTCATTAGGTCCAGTTGGCTTAAAATTTTATTAAAGTGATCTTCTTTTCAGATGTTGTACAATTGAAAGTGGTGTCTTAAAATATCAATCACAATACTATTTTTGACCACTGTTTGGTTCATCCAAAAAGGTCCATTAATCTTGCATTATTTCCTTCTGTCTTTGCTCTGCTCCAGATGGGAGAGACCAGTAGTTGCACCTCAGATGGCCACTTTGGTGGCGTAGGGTTAGGGTGAGGGTTGGACTGCTTACCTCGAGATGAGCACTTCAGAACACCAGCTGCTCCCAGGAACTGAAATAAAGAGTCTCAGGAAGCCACAGGGACAGTTCTTCTACCCTATCCGGTAGGGAGGGTCACTGTGCATCAGGGTTGACTCAATGGCAGTGGGTTTGGTTTTTGTGGATTAGGCTCATGTGTTTAGGTGCATTGTTAGGTGCATGTATACCCGTATACTAATAAGTGAAATGTCTTCTTGTTAAATTGACCTGTTTATTGTGTCATGTCCTTTATCTCTTATAATAGATGTTTATCTTAAACTGTTATCTAATAGCAATATGTTCGCCCCTGCTCTTTTGTTGTATGGAATATTTTTCTTCATCGTTTTATTATCAGTCTGTATGAGTCCTTATGACCAAGGTGTGTTTCTTGTAGACAACAGAAGAATGGACTGCAGGACTTTTTGTTTGATTTGTTTTTGACCTATTCTGCAACTCTGCATTTTTATGGAGTATTTAGACGACATGCATTTAAGGTTATCACTGAAAACAAAGTCCACCATACTCATTTTGTTCATTTGTTTTTAATGCTTCATATTGTCTGTGTTTTGTACTTGCCTGCTTTCTTGGGATGAGCCGTTTTGCTCATTTCCTTCTTCAAATGTTTCTTGGTGATTTCTCAGTGTTACAGTTTTCAACTAAAGCTGCAACAATGTTTATTTAACATGCGGACAATTATTCATTACAATCTTAACATAATAAATCTATTCCTAATAGGCTCTTCCCCTCTTCTGTTGGTGTGTGTCCTTTAGCATCACTACACAACCTATATTTGATAAGTTTACTCTGTACTTATTTCTCACAAGCTTGATGTATTGTTTGTGAGATTTAATCAGTAAGTTTATTTTCTGAAAATAATGCCTGTGTTTTTGTTGTTTGTAGATCTCTTATGGTTTTATTTTTCCCATGTGTAGATAACAAGTATTTTTTATAATGCTCCTGCTTTTCCTCCTAGAAGAATACTTGTAGAGTTGGTTGCAAGAGCCCAGAGCTTCTCTTCGTTTGGGAAGTCTTGAGTGACATTTTTGCTTAGTAAAGAATGCTTGATTGGCAGTTGTTTTCTTTCAATATTTCTGTATGTATCTTCATTGCCTTCTGACTTCGAGAGTTTCTTAGGAGAAATTCCCCCTTGCTATGTAATACTTCATTTTTCTCTTACAGCTTTCAGAATTCTTGTCTTTAGTTTTCAATTTTATTAGGATATGATGTAGAATTGATCTTTTTTTATGCCTTTTCGAATGAGGTTCTTGTAGTTCCTTATAGTTTAGGGGATTCTCTCATATTATCTCTTAGAATATTATCTCTCTGCCTTTATTATTTTCATAGTGTTCTGTAATTCCA